AAAAATTAAGCACTTAGCTTCAAGACATGTGAGGCATATTAATTTTCCTTAAAAATATAGAGTTTCAACTTTATTTTGTCGTCAGAATTTAAAAAAAAAATACTTTTCTATCAAAAGTTATGAAGTTTTGAACAAAAAATTTACTTTTTAACGACCTTGCTACGAATGTATGATACGAAACTTTTAAAAAAGTTTTTCTTCTTTTTTTTTCAAAAAACGTTTTGAATCTTCTAGTAGACACCTAAAACTAGTGCCATGAATTTTTATAGAGAGTTTGCTGTAGTTTAAAAAGCCGAGAACACCAAACAAAAACCATGTTGACCGCTAGGAGTCAAATATTAATTTAATAAATACATTTCAGTCTGATCGTAAAGTAAATGAATAACTAAAAGTACTAAAATGATGCGTAGAAGAACGACGGAGAATCGCGTGACGCGCGTCGCGCACCTTTTTTAAAGAAGGGGATTCGGATCGCTTTCGGAATAAGCTCCTAAGTTCCGCGTGATAGGGCTAAATCGAAAGAAATCCAGGTTCCAGGATCGAATATTTCAAATCCACGCAATCGCGTAGCTTGATAAGCTGTTTTGGATCGAAACGTCGGGTGGAAGTTCGGGGTCCCGGCGTGCAAAGGTCGTTAGCAGAGTTTCGAGCGGTGCATAGCAATGAGCCTTGAAAAGGGGGTAGAAAACCTCCTGGGAATCTAGACACCCGTTACGTGGAAACTCGTACGAAACGAACGGGCTGCTCTACAGCACAAAGGGGGCTGCCTTCGGGACTAAACTGACTCACGGCAACCGGGATAATCGAACTCGTTACGAGCATTCTCTGGATTCGTTTCGTGCATCGAATAGCCTATGTATCGGTTTCCCAATTCTTCTGTATTTCGAACACCTCTCGCAACAAATAAACGACTCATGTTTCATCCTGCGTCAGCTTTACGTGAACAGTCGAGGGTGTTCAAATTCCACACTTCGAAACCTCGATTAATTTATATTAAACCGGGAAGTCGTAAAGGAATAGAAATCATTTTTTTTTAACACGTTCACGCCGGCGTGCGCCACCGGTGGCTCACGCTCGCGTGTCTATCAGATGACGCGTACCACCGCGCCGCCCCATGGAGAGAAACATAAATAGCAATTCGGCACAGTGAGGCGAGCTTATGAGTGTTGTATATTGGAGCAAAAAATGAACGTTCAAATTTCAAAACCTAAATACATTTCAATGAATCTTTAAACCTTTGGCAATTATGTTTCACAGTGCCTTTTCGTTTTGCTTCACTATTTACCTCATGGAATCTGAAATTAGTTACGTTGATCTATTTATCTTTCTCTTTAATTTACATTGTAGTTCTTGTATTATATGACTTTACCGAATGTATGCAATATTTAATGTTGTGGTTGTAGTAATTCTAAAATAAACAGAAAGATGATTTAAATGTACAACAGAATTTAGATTTCATTGTAGAAGTTATAAATGTTTTATTCGATTATAAATATCACCTAAATTCGTCCAGAAAAAACTTTGCACCATTTGTTTTTAGGAATGTGACATTGTTAGCGATTATTTTACATCGGTGCAATATTTTGAAAAAAGTATGTTTTTAAGTATGTTTATTTAAGTTGTCTGTTGAAATGACAATGTAACAAAAACATTTACTTACTTAGATATGTTTATACTCTTCGCGAAATGTGGAATAATTTAAGAGAATACTGAAAAATTTAGCCTGAAATAAAGAGATCGAATGCATAGATTTCTCAGCAAGTTGTCAACTAGGTTAAAAAGTGTTCAAGTTAAAGTCATTTCATACGCTTGACATTGTTCTCCACTCAATACTATAACTCTAGCAATTCTATAGATTTCTTTTTCGAATTTTAACGAAACATTCTTGAAATAGTGTATCGTTCGAGTAATGCCAGACAATAGATTTTTTCAAAATTGTAACAAAGTATACGACGTATACGACTTTAATACTATCGTATGAACTGAAAGAAATCTCTAAAAATATGAACTAAAATAAAAACAGTTCTTTTAAACGCCTGGGCGACATCTTGTGTCTCAACATTTCGTCAAATCAGATATAGTTGTGACGAAAACCCTCAAAATCACATAAACCATAATCAAGTATTATCTGCGGATTCCCCAATCTTAATTTTTGTGTAAACGAAGAAAATATTAGATTGTCCGAAAAGTTTCTTTCGTGAGTTGCATTCAATTATTTTCTGTGGCAGTGTTTATATAAGTAGACAATCGAATTTCTCAGACATTGATGCTGTAACAGTAATGGAGCGAAATGAATCGTACACAATTCAGTAATGTAACATAAAACATAAAATATTGTATATATATATATATATATATATATATATATATATACAATATTTATATATATTTATTATTATATATTATATATTTTATATTTATATTTATATTATATTAAATGTGTATTTATATTTATATTTATATTATATATTATATATTTATTATTATATATATATATATATATATTAATTATTAATAAAACGAAAGAAACTTTCGGGACAACCTAATAGTTGATACGTACAATTTTTTATCGAATTCCAACGAAGAATCTGTTACTTCTTTGTTTATATTTCGTACAATTCTTCGGAAATTGAACAATTTCTCAATCTCAGTGAAATGTTACAAAAAGAAAATTAGTAAAATTGCGTGTATTCGAAGCATCGCTTTCAGAAGCATCATTTCTCAAAAGTCTCCTACCACTTTCACAATGAGCGGGTCAATTACGTGTACCGCGATTATCCGTGCATCGGCAGTAAGAGGAACGCGTAGAAAGCGCGCCACTCGGCGTAACGTCGTCACATAAATCTAAGTATCCTGCTTCCTCGTTGTTGGTCACGAGTCAAGCGACCCGTGTTGATTTCGCAGTGTTGTTTATCGACCTTGGACACGACTCTATCGTAATACAGGACGGCGCTGTTAATGAATCTAAATACGCGAACAAGCGTAGCGAAAAGAGACCAGGGACCATTACCAATCACTCTCCTCATCCCTTGTACCCTCTCCGTTTCGTTCGCCGGAAACATTCGCAACGAAGAAGGAAGGGTCGAAAGGCGTGTTCGGGTTCGCCGAGTTGGTCTTGTTAGACCTGCGAAAGGGGATTCTGATCAACCAACCGTGCGGACCTTAAGGGCTCTTACTCCCATATAGACACGCTTCGTTTCTCAATTGATTCTTTATTTTACAATCGCCGTGACATCGTAAAGGCCATCGAATCCCGCGTTAGGATGTTCTGCGTATGCTTGTCACTCTTGTTAAACTTCGCGTCGAGGACACCATCGATTTTTCCTTTCGCTCGCGTACTCAGGCCCCCGACTGCGTTTGATCCTCCATGCGTGAACCTCGTTAAGGATTCGGATGGAATCTTAACGCATCGGGTTTATGACGTGGACGTGACCTCTTCGCTATTATTATCATTAGGTTGTGGTAGATTGAGCCCAGTCGCGACAAGGACGGCTCGTGTTTTGAATTGTTGGTTATATTAAGGGCTAAGACAGCTCCAGGTACCCCGAAAAATAAGCTAATTTCGAGAATTTTTTTGAAAGATTAATTAAATGCAGTGACAAATTCAAGTAGAGTAATTTTATTAACACTTTATTTACCGGGAGCCTATTTTTAGGCTTTTTATTCGTAGTATTTAGGTATTCGAATTTATTTACTGTGTTGATGGCTGTCTACTTACAGTGTTCAGTGTTTGGAAACATATTTTGCTTTCAATGTACCTAGTAACAGTATGGAGAAATTATTGTCAGCCTAGATTGGCATATGCTACTGTAGTAAATTCTTTTTTGAATTCAAGACTGTTTCTAAATATTCCGGTAGATGAAATGTTAAGTGCGTATTAATGTGTAGAGAAGAAATTTTTTATGTGTTTTTCTTCTAGATTTTGCGTTCTCAACAGCTTTCGATTGCAGCGACTTCTGTGAAAGAAATTATACAAATAATATGAAATTGATGGGGAACCAAGATTTACTATAAAAGAAAGGTTTCCCATCGAAGATTTTGAAAGAATTCCTATTATTACAAGCACGGTAATTATGGTGCTATTGAATAGAATTTTTAAAAATATCAAATACGTCTAATTTTTCATTTTTCTAATCTGATGTGCAAAATAAGCTAATCTCGAGAATTTTGTTTTAAAAATTAATTAAAAGCAGTGACAAATTCAAGTTGGATATTTTATTAAATGTGTATTAATGTGTAGAAAAAAAATTTGTTATGTGTTTTTTCGTCTTCTAAACTGTTTTTCGTCTGACTTCTGTGAAAGAGATGACACCAATAATATCAAATCAATGGATAACCAGGATTTGGTATAAAAGAAAGGTTTCCCATTGAAGATTTTGAAATAATTCCCACTCCCACCCACAGGAATTGGAGGTGGGGGTCAATTATGGTGCTATTGAATAGCATTTTTAAAAATATCAAATACGTCTAATTTTATTTTTCTAATCTGATGTGCATTCTTCGAGATATCCCCAATTATCAAAGATGTTTGACTCATTTCGATTTATGTCGATTACAGCGCCAACCAGAATGCCATAACCAAATCTGCAATAAAAAGTGGGTGTTCTCATTTAAGTTTTTTATCTTATTCCACTCCTATTCCTAAGGGAGTGACGGTAGGGATCGAGTTTAGTATAATTGGATGATAATTTATTAGTCGAATGCCTTAATTTGATCTTTAGCATATACATAAAATACAACGATTTTCAGCATCAGTTTGTTTAAATATTTCAAACGTGTCACCAAGATCCCCATTCGTTTATTACACGGAATTGATCGACCTTTATTAGCAAATGTCAGCCCAATAGCGATTAACCTTTAAACAACGTTGCAAGTCAACTGCGGAGCATTTCGAGCGGATAAATTGATCGCCCGTTTCGCTCGGTTTCCTGTTCCTCGAATTAGCATAACGATCGATTCTTCTTCCTATAATCATCCATTTCCTTCGTTTCGTTTTCCAGAAGGAAGAAGCCCTACCGAGTCTTCCAGTGCCGGATTTGGAATTAACTATGCAGAAGTACTTGGCCCAGGTTGAAGTAATCGCCCCGAATCATTTAGAGAAGACCAGGAGCTTGGTGAGAGCTTTTCTTTCTGGGCCTGGGCCGAAGCTTCAACAACGTCTCGTAGAACGTAGCCAGAACGTCACTAATTGGGTGAGTCATACCGATTTTTTACACTTTTTCGGTAATAAACCAATCGAATTGCAGCTATCACTTATCGTCTGTACAGTGTGTCTCACAAACTCTGATCACTCAAATATCTTCGTTATTTGATGTTATTTAATGAGAGATTGTTTCACACAGAAATTGCAAAGTTTAAACAGATAACAAATTTTGATGTATAATTTTGTTGAGAAAATTGTATTACGCAGTGTATAAACAAAATGCAGTTTCCTTTTTTTTACGAAAAGACAGCTCCAAAAGTATATTTAAACATTTCTATTGTCATATTTTTATTCTATCCTTTATCTTAATTTTTGTTATTTGTAATTGCTAATTGTAAGTATGGTTTCACGTGATTATTCAGTGACTACGTTAGCCTAGTTATCTCAGGCATAGTCGTTGAGTGGTTAGTAAAAACGTAATGTTAATCATCCTATTTATGCGACAAATATACTTTTTTATCGGATTCCATAGTCGTAATGGGAAACGACCTGAATTTTGACGTTTCGAAACGGCTAGAAACGTGGCGGAGTTTATGCAAACTGTCTCATTAAAGATTCAGAACGTAAAAGGTTGGGCAGAGCGAAAATGCGAAGGCTGAGCAGTCGAAAATGATAACGGGGAAGAAAAGTTCCTGACTAGTCGGTACAACACCATTTTCGTTCCTTTTTCACTCCGCCACGCGGGAATATTCTGTTTCAATAATACAGTATCCTTGGAGCTGAATATTTCAATATCTTTAAAGTCTTTCAAATACCGCGGAAAATCGTCTGTCAGAGTTCTTATTTCGCGTAGAATGCAGTTCTTCGTTGATTGCATTACTTTAACAAACGGGGGAATCATGTGGTAGGACTCAGTAGATCTTAGCTAGCTACCTTAGACCTTAAGTAATTTACATTCCTATATATTTGTAACTAGCTGTGATAGCTAAAATAATTTATTTTAACTTATTTAATTTACTTATTTATTTTAATTTATTTATTTTAACTACCACTAGTTAGTTAAAAATATATGGGAAACTACCTAAGGTCTAAGATACCTAGCTAAGATCTACTGGGAAATTGCTCTAAATTAGTTCGCATAACGGATGTTATTGGAAATGGGTAATTAAATAAATGTTTCAGTAGTAAAGAACTGACTGGATGAAAAGTCTAGTCACAGGGACTAGACCAAGATTAGTCGTCCAACAATGTAACCATTCGTTAACGCATGTGTTCATTTGTTCAGACAATTGTTTATGTATAAACATCCTTTCACGCGTCCAGCATATCAAGCGTCGATTAATTTTTGTCCAAAATATTCCAACAGATGTTGTACTGTATTATACTGTATTTTGCCGTATTCTATGCGGAATCAATCTGTGCCATGTTGTGTTATAGCGCATTATATTATGCTGTGTTATGTTATGATATGTTGTATACTGCTTGTATAAAGCTACATACATTACATTGTACCATGTTGTATTACATCGTATTACACTGTTCTACGCTGGATAAACCTCTACTTTTAAGATCGCTCAGTGGGCAATCGATCTACCAAGAGCACGACATTTATTAATTATTATACCGTACAGTAAACACAGTGCAATGCATTTAAAACGTAAGAAAACTCGTCAGCATTATTAACTATCGAAAATGTACCGACTCGTCCATAAAATCGACCGAATTGCGTTTCAGTAGCAAGAGATCTCGTCCAAATGAACGAAAAGAATTAAATATTCACGGCATAAAGGCGCAAAAGGAATCAGGTACGAATTACGGAAACGGGAATCCAGCTGGCAGCGATAATAGACAAATGGCGAAAAGGGGACGTACTTTTTCCGTCTAAGTGGCACAACAGCGTTTTCGTTTCAGGCCACGTTGCCGTTCGTAGAATTTACTTCTCATGGCATCAGCCTACGCGCGGGCTCCGTGACTTTTGCGATCTCCCCATCCCGTTTCGCTCGGTCCCGCGGGAATCCCCGGTTCGATGCATACCCCGCCATAAGCCCCCGCGTCCCCACGGCCATCCGGTCCGAGCTCCCGTGGCACATAAATAAATAAATAAATGGATTTACGAGGGCTCGCGCACCGACTCGTCTCGCAACGCTTCGGTGGTACGGGAACGAGACGAGCCTCCCGCGCTCGAATATACACCGGAACAATGCAAATATTGCGACAAGAACGACAGAGGGGATGACAAAAGGGTTGAGGAAAGGAAAGCACACCATTCGTCGATTGGAAAGAATAAAGAATCTCTGCGGCGCGCAGCGATATCTTGTGTGTGTGTTTTTTTTTTATATTTAATTTGTTTAAGGTTACATCACAGGTTATTAGCGACCAGCTTTCAGTTATACAACTTTGACATTAGGATACATTTGAGATATTTACAGTTGGTGTGCATTCATGTGTTATTACTAGACTGCGGATCTTTATGCAAAATAAATTCTTCGCGAACGTACCTACAAAAATTGAACCTATATAGAAATTTATTTTATTCTGCAAATATTATAACGTGAACTTTACTTTCAATCTTTTTTATATTTTTTGCATATTGTTTTCATTTTGTAGGTTCTTGCACATTCGATTTTCCTATAAATGCATAAAGATCCGCAGTCTGGTTATTACTTAGAGTTAAATATTCTATGAAACTAATTATATCGGGTGCCACGTGTTCATCATTCAGTGCTGCTTGGAGATTTCCTGGTATGTTGAATTTCATTCTACTTGCAGCGATATCTTGTTTTTGGTATTCGGCGTTTTCGTTTCTTTTCCTTACATTTGTAAGAATTAGCTGGCCGGTATTTTTTTGGCGGCACGCGAGCATTGTCACTCGCCGATCGCGAACGGATCGGACAGAAGTGTCTTCGATTAACACTTTGCTTCGTAAGAATTCACCGATCAGCGTTCTGTTGACGGCACGCGACCATTGCCGCTCTTTTTTGTTTAACAGAGTCGATAACCGTTGACGAGCAGTCACAGATCTTCCTGAATTATGGCATGAGGCACTGTGTAACGCTGTTTGAAGTAAAAGTATTCTGTAGCATTCACTATTCTGACGTATAATGTTGAAATATTATGTCGTTAGCAGGATTATGCTCTATTTCGATGGAATACTGAGCATTTTACAACAATTTGCTGCATTATACAGTGTGTCGATCACACCAGTGAGTCGCTCGGTGGATTTTGTGGAAGTCGATCGTATCGAAATAAAATCATTTTTAATAGAGATTTGTGTTAATCTATAATAATCTACTATAATCTCTCACACATTCAAGTTTATAGTCGGAGAACCAGTGGCGATTTTACACGACCGCTCATTAATTTCAATACACCATTTGTGATTTTTTTTCGAGTAGCAATGCACTTATCATAATAAGCCATGATGAATTCATTTTTATTGAAATGAAGTAATCGTGCTTGAATTAATCAACAGATTCATTGGATGCAAAACAGAACGGGTGCTAAATGCGCACAAAGTTGCACATTTTTTCTCTGGCGTTTCTATATTATTTCAATGCTCTATCGAGTATGGCAATGTATTTTTCTTCACATTTCACTGAACGATACGAGTCCAGGAGTTAGGTCCAAATGACAAATGTGCGAATTGATGTGGATTTTATGGGAGTCGATCGTTCCGAAATAAAATCATTTTCAGTAGATTTGTAGAGAAGGGGTGCTAAAACGCACACAAAGTTGCACATTTTTGCTCTGGCATTTCTATATTATTTCAATGCTCTAACAAGTATGGCAATGTATTTTTCTTCACATATCACTGAACGATACGAGTCCACCAGTCCAAACGACGAATGTGCGAATTCGTTTGCAACGCAATTTCGAAAAGATTGCTCAGCCATTTCGACCTTTGAATCCGAAGCATCCAACTCGGGAGTCCCGTGCGTATGTAGTTTTCCTCGCGAGGATGAAGCGCATCAATCATTTCCCGCCATTACCTAATGCGTGTTAGGAATACATAACGCACGCGACCATTAGGTGGTTCGATGCATTAGGAAAAAGGGCGAAAACTCTCCGTAATTAGTAGCGGGTCTGCATCGCTAATTGTAAAAGTTTCCCAAGATCTTGAGATAGATTGGCAAGATGCTCTGCGTGATGTTCCAACAGGTCAGATTCAATTGCGTTTTAATGAATCGTTACGCTCGCGTGCCGATTTTCAGCACGTGACACCGTGATTCCGATGAAACGCCGAGTTAATAAGAAAATGCAAATAGACGCGAACTTAATCGTACACCAGGAGATAGGGAGTTTCGTCATTCGCACTGTATCAGTTATTCAAAAGTAACGCTTACACCTTGTGAGAAACGATCTATCTGTGTTAAATTTGAACTGGCCGCCGAGGTGCGCGTCGTTCTCGTCTTTTATCATTTTTCTTTACTCGAGGCGAGATCTCGCGACGTTTTTTAGATTAGTGTGTATTACAAGCTGTTACGACAAACATGCACTCGTTCATGTACATATATATATATATATATATATATATATATATATACATTTTACATCACATTAAATATTCTTATTTCAATGTACATTGTGTTATAACCTAGTTACTTCTTTTAGTTTGGAATAATTTGGTAAGAAGGTAGACTCGTAAAACAATGGAAATACTAAAAATGGAAAAATAATAAGATTACGCGTAACGTTATATATTAATAATTCGTTTATCTGTAATTTTAAAATTATACGCTTCATACTACACATCTTGTGAAAACTATTTCAATTGACCTGTTCTTCGTTTAATCTTAAAAATGATAAAAGATTACGCTTTGTTTATGACTCTACTTTAAAGATTTTACTCTGAAGAAGATGTTATTTGACAAAGTGACAAGAAAAAAAACAAAAAAAAAAATCGTGGCACTGCTAGCTCAACATTAAGCTAGTGGCTGAAAATGTTAAAAATTAATAAAAATGAAAAAATCAAAGTGGATACGTTTAGTACTGAATTTATACTAATTTGTACCACCAAAAGAAAATCGTAATATTAATATTAAGCTAGCA